CGACATCCGATCAAGGAATAATAAATCCTTCACTGAACGATTTTACCCAATACATGATGCATTACAGGAAATGAACATCCAGGCTGTACTCGATGGAGAGATCATAGTCGCGGGTGACCAGGGCATTTCAAATTTTGGTGACTTGCAAAACTGGCGAAGTGAAGCTGACGGGAATCTTCAATTTTATGTATTTGACATGTTGTGGCTGAATGGGCGATCGTTGATGGAATTGCCGTTAAGTGAACGACAGGCATTACTCGCGGCCAGCCTGCCTGAGCACCCGTTGATACATATCAGCCAGATCTTTGATGCGGGCGGAGATGAATTTTTTGATGCCGCCCGGAAAACAGGATTGGAAGGAATTATGGCAAAAAAGACGGATTCACATTATACGCCGGGGATAAGGACGAAAGAGTGGGTTAAAATAAAAGTTGCCAAACGACATGAGGTGGTTATCGGTGGGTACACACAAAATGAAGGGAGTTCGAAAACATTCAGTTCACTTTTGGTGGGAGTATTTGAAGGCAAAAAACTGAGATACACAGGTAAGATCGGCACCGGGTTTTCCGATAGTTTACAGAAAGAAATGATGCAGCAGTTTAAGAAACTTGTCCAAAAAGAAAGCCCTTTCGATGCAGAACCCGATGTAAATAAACCTTCGCGGTTCAGGCCTGATCCTCCGAAAGCAAAAGCAACCTGGCTTAAACCAAAACTCGTATGCGAAGTGTCCTATACCGAGATGACTTCAGATGGTGTGATGCGTCACCCCTCTTTTGAAGGAATGCGTATTGATAAAAAAGCTGTCGATGTGAAAGAAGAAAAAGCAGCATCCCCCGAAGACGTTATTGAAGATAGCCCGTTGCACAAGAAGAAGATGCTGAGAAAGAGTTCGGATAAAGAAAGAAAAACCCTGTTGAATCCTGGTGATGAAACACAGGAACGGAAAGTAAATGGTCATTCCCTAAAGTTTACTAACCTGAGCAAGATATACTGGCCGAAGGAAAAATTTACTAAACGCGATCTCATCAACTACTATTACCGCGTTGCAGAATACATGCTCCCGTATTTAAAGGATCGACCACAGTCACTCAACCGGCATCCAAATGGTATCAATGGTAAAAGTTTCTATCAAAAGGATGTTACAGGTAAAGTACCGGATTGGATACAAA